GCACTACTATAAAATTAAGCACTTCTATACATTAGCACATAGGTGTTTTTCAGCACATTTGAAAGCATAAGGTCAATCCAGTTGCACAGATAAGCAAATACGAGACAATTTATTGCTACTGAAATGTGGGTTCCTAGATGAGGATAGAATCTGTTGGAAAATTCAGGGACAAGAAAAGATGATTTTCTATAATTCATATTTTAAAGAAAAGTAAAAGAATGGATATTATTTCGTATTGAGACAATCCAGGAAATGGGGAAATATTAAAGGAATCTTAATTAAGACCCAGGATTCCACAGTAAGGAGGATGGGGTGCTACAAACAGGACCATACCGACAAATAATAAGAAGCAAATAGAAGATATTGAAAAGAGACGAAGTAAGCCGAATTCCCAAAGTAAAGGTAAAAAAAAATGCAAAATAGAAAGGCAAGATGGATCAGTATTTCTTCTTGAACATTACCATTAGCTTACCTTTTGACTCATCATATAATGGAAGGAGACACACACACACAAACATTAAAAAACGTGCGTTCTATACACCTGATTGGTGATAAAAAAACATCAAAGTTCGGGAAAGACAGCCAAGACGAGAAGCTTATCCAAACATAATAAATTAAATAGGTTTTTGTTTACTTTCTGTAAGATTGGGCACTTGAATATGTCAATATAAGACGTCAGAAATCATTATGTAAGATTTAAGAAAGATTAAGAGTTACGCTTTGATCTCGGAGATGATTTAGTTGCAGCTAGACAGGAATTGCATCTCTTTAAGAAGGGTGGATTAATTTTGTTTGGAAGAGTGCCTTCAAAGAGTCCTCACAAAGGATATAGACGGATAAGAGAGTGCTGACCGAAGCTCCGTCCAACAGTCAACCACTGAGGCCTTCCAAGGGAATGTCACAAAAAAAGAAGCAACTTTAGCGATAACTAAAAGTCCTAAGATCGTTTTAAGATGCATGTTGGAACAAGACAAAAGCTATTTGAGGCTAAACATTTCAAAGAGAACCTCTAAATGTAACTGAAAAGCTTATACTCACAGACTTTCTAAATATATACAGTACATATCTATTCGTTAACTTGATATTATGAAGCAATGGTTGGGAGCAAATGACAAACTCTCCATGAACAAGCCGACTAGTCAATATTATGATCCTAGACAGGGAAGTCAACGTGATGTTCTTCCCTTTTCCTCCGGTGATTCAAATTACTGAAATCAATTTCCGTGGTCAGTTTTTCGTTTTATTATATTGGTTTACTCAGCACTGTTAAAACATTTTTAATTTTATCATCCAGAGGGGCTAAGTGCCTTTCACGCCTACACGGCAATGACCAAGGCTGTGCTGGCAGAATCAGTGACCCTTGGATCCCAAAGCTATATCCACTTAAAACACATGCAAGCATGCAATTAACAATGCGATTGACCAATAAATGTGCCCCACTATTTGACAACAAAGCTTGGTGGCTAGGCCATTGTCCAATATCTAGTATATTGAACAGTGTTGTAATCGTAATAGGAAAATGTAAGATACATATATCATTTCAATCCAAACAAATTCTCAGATTTATACCACGTGACATTACAAGAGAAATTTTGTCCAGCATTTACACTTAAACAGTTACTAGACGTAAAATCAATGTTAAAATCTGTATTTATATTGGACTCTAACAAGTTCTGGATAACTGCCAAATATTTCCACTTGATTCATGACTTTCTATGAAAACTCTTCAGAAAGATCACAGTTGTAATCATTTTCAAAAATTAAAATTAAAATAATTTGGAGAACAATATCAAATCATCTTGAAATAATGCATTTTTTGTTTATTATCTTCTTCTGGTCTTATCAATTGCATGCTTCTGTTTCAAACGAATTTTTTAAAATTACTAATATGAAGTTATTTTTAACAAATATAAAAATTGCAAAGAATTTTATTACCATTTTGCTCAAATAATCATTAGATGTGTTTCTTGACTTTTTAATTACCCCTTCTATTGCCTGCCTTGTCTCGTCTACTTCGGCCGAAGGGTTATTTTGGTGATATGTACATACTATTTCCGGATCAAATCCTAAATTTGACAACTTGTAAATATACGCGAAATAACATAATCCTATGCAATGTGGAAATTTTGAATTTCGCGCTAGATATGGCTGTTACCAAATACCGTGACTAAATAAGTGACTAAACTGTACCCAGGCTTTTTCCGGAAAGATTTGCATGCAGCAAAATTTGCACAGTTAAATACATAAGTGACATCACACCCACGTATCGTCCATAAAAATCAAAACAGATGCGGAAGCGGAGACTGATTAATTGAACTAGGGTAAATAATGTTCGTTTTATCATATAAATGTTTACTTATTCATCAGATAAAAAAAAACTTAAGGTGTTTTATAAACAAGAAATTATAAACATGAAATAATATACAGGATGCTGATTTAGTTATAAAATATGTGATAAAATTATGTTTGATGTAAATTTCCACAAATTATAACAACAAGCATCTCAAAATATCACTTATGTGTCTGTGTATATGAGTTAGATATTTAATGTAGCTTTAATAGTATTTCAGTTACATAGCTACACTAAGCTTTTAATGCTGAGCGCCAAGCGAGGCAGCTACTAGTGCTATTTTGATGAGTCTTTGGTATGACTATCGGGTTTCGAACGCACGACCTCCCATATTTGAGGCAGACGCTCTAACCACTTAGGCCACCGGAGATGTGAATATCACTTAATACTGATCCATATAAAACTGTATAACATTATATATCATGGTGAGTGATCTTTGGTACTGAAGCGGTTATCAACTGTAGGTACGTGGTTAGCACAAGCTGAATATCAGACCGGAAGATGATTTGCCCCATCAGAGTAGCTGATAAGGATTTTTATGTGGACTTACTCATTGAACAAAAGAATAAATGAAATGCAGTTTATTTAATAGCATGTATCTTTATTTCATTTCACAAATGATAATAATGTGATTCTTAACAAATGTTTCTCTCTGTTTGACTATATATTGGTCAGTTTAAACAATTAGAGACCCGTTCTCTCGAGAAATGTGAGTTTTTGACACTCCGTCAAAATAAGGTAGTGTCCAATTAGGGTGTCGGACGATACATAAAATTGCCGAAATTAGTTCAAGTAAAGACAATAAAAATATTAACACAACCACTCCCAAATTTCTAAAATCAAATAACATCAGTATAAACACCCGCTTATAAAACACAATAACATCTATAAAGACAAACAACTGCAAGTGTTACTTCGATACACCTCGATAAAAGGATAACAAATCAAAAATGCAAGCTGGATTGTCTATAATCAAGATTTAGCTGATCTTTGTATCATAATTCACAAGCATCATTAATGTTGAGAACGCGTGTACATCGTTGCAATTTGAAATTAACATCCAATAACCTTTTATTACAATCATTTTGAACCTGTTACCCTGACAGCTATCGAAATCGGACAGACATATGAACAATATGAAACTAAAGCACAGTAAGATTCTGTATTCAGCCATTCATGAAGGGTGTTATTAGCAAAAAGGGCACCCATTAAAGCAATGGGGAAAGGGAACGAGTTCCAGAAGGTTGACGCTTTGACCCAGGAAGAGTTCAACATTTTATACCAGAAGAATATCGGTGGTATAAGTATTGTATATTTCTTTATGTGATGCACAAAATCAGAGATAAACAATTTGTTTGGTTTTGCTTTATCTTAGTTTTTTTTAAAAATAGTTGTTTATTTCAATATCATAACACAAAAGACAATGATATATGAACAATTACAACAAAAAAATCACGGATTTGAATCCAATGCAAGGCGTTACTTGAATACTTTCGTTTCTGTCAAGTACCTTTCTCTATCAAACATATATCATACAAAATGGTACCTCTATGGTTTCAGTTTGAATGTTAAAATGCCTGACAGGAACATTTAAAAATATCTTTTAGCAAATTCAGGATCATTGCTGCACTATGTATAGCTGCATAATAGGGTATAATTTAGTCTGCAAGGCAGATAGGACCACACAAATCGTTTAAGGAGGGATATTCAGTTGACGAGGACTTGATCGACTTGGAATTTAGTGGACAGACTAATTCATTAATAGATTAAGCATCATTTAGTATATTTATCTTTTATATTTAACCAGGCATGGTGAGTGACCTTTGGTAAGTTAATTATATTCATCCTTTCTTAATTATTAGGAAAGTGATATACATTTTTGGTAAAATATTTAGTTAACAGTTCAAGATATTTCAGCTGAAACATAATCCAAACAGTCCATTTCAACTGTACAAAAATTATGTAATTTGCAACTACCCTAATAACCTAAATTCATTTGATACAAGGTTATATTTGCGCCTTTTCCCTTCTACTGCAAGTAAAAAATATATACATTTGGTTTAAAATAACTAGTTTATAGTTTAAGATGTTTCAACTGAAACATTGTTCAACCTGTCGAGTTCATCTGTACAAAAATGATATAAGTTACATCGAACTAATGACCGGAATCCACCTCATGCTAGGTTCTGGTTTCAGTTATCATTTGATCAGAAAGTTTCAGATTAAAATATAAACTTTTGTTGTCAGCTTGGTACATCTTCGTGCCAGTCTCTTATTTGCCATTTACACACTGGACCACGTTGACATTTGTTATAGCAATAACAGATCTGTGCACACAAAGATATCTATCTACTCTATAATTCGATCAAAGCTATTTCATTAAAAGTAAAATATTTATGGTCCAAGGAGTTCACAATCATACACACCGAATTTCATCCTAAAGGCTTATCTAAAGTCAGCAATGAAAGCCATATTTAATGGCAGGCCATCAACATTGGTACACAAGTAAAAGACATTGACAGAAGGTTTGATTTGGCATGTACAATTGTAGCATTTGAACCAGGTCTCATTTTTTCGCGAGACCTGCACGCTAACAAATGAGCAACCGCCAATCCTGCCTTTATTTGTACCCTCTTACAGAACCAATCCGGTGGTCTAGTTGTTAGAACGTCCGCCTCGGATGCCGGAGGTCGCAGGTTCGAACCCCTGCTAAGTCATGCCAAAGACTTATAAAAATGGTACTAATAGCTTCCTCGCTAGGCGCTCCAATTAAGAGGTTAGTGTTAGGACTGTCGGCCAGGTGTCAGGAAAATATGACTGGGTGAGACATCGTGCTACATATATACAGCATGATTTCTCAGTGCTAGACATCACTATAAACTGCCACACTGCAAAAATCGTAGCGATATGACTGAAGCATTGTTAAAACTAAGTTTAAATAAGTTTTTAAAAAAATAAACAACCAACTCTCTCTCTCTCCCTCCCTCCCCCCTCTCTCTCTCTCTCTCTCTCTCTCTCTCTCTCTCTCTCTCTCTCTCTCTCTCTCTCTCTCTCTCTCATAGGTCTATTACACATTGAGTCCACATGAGGGCCATACGATAATGTTTCAGAAGTCCAAAATGGCTTTTAGTGATGGACACACGGACGGAGGATTGTAACATATTCTCATATAGCCCAATCCCAGGAGTGCTCAATAAAACTCACTGTATTAAAAATGCATATAATGTGTAAATCATTATTTAATATTTAAAAAAAATAAAATAAACTTACAAACAACAATTAATTAGTGAATATGAATAATTTTAAGAGCAACACAGTTTTTGCACCATTATAACAATAGGTTTTTCTACCATTATATAACATACTTACCTGCGTCAGGTCCCTGATCAAATGAAAGTTTGAGTCATATAATGATCAATATGTAAATTTATTTTTAGCGCATATGTAAGTTTTAAAATTCCATAAGAAAGTTAATACCAATACAAGCATATGCTAAAAGGAAACTAATCCATTTGTAGGTCTTTTTTTAAAATAGATTTCGTACACGTGGCGTTTTGCCGTCACTAGTAGTTTATACGTAATATAATCTATTTTATGCCAGGCCGTGAATTACGATATGTCCTTTTGCACTACCCGTAAATAGACATTGATTGCAGTTTGACCAAGAAATCTGATATATTTTATATCTGCGCACATTCTAGTGATAAGTATAGCAGATGTGTATGGAGACAAATCATTTTAAAAATCCTTAAATTTGTATGCATTATTTTTGTTGTAATTTTTATGTGATGTTTTTACCTTGAATTAAGAAGGAGATTATGTTACTTCTTTTTTCTATGCGAATCAAACATACGATAGCATAAACGGCAAACTAGTAACATTATGACGCATGATCCAGTAAGAAACCCATTACATAACTGTTGTACATACTGCTAGCCAATATAAAAATTAAAATTTGCTCAAGTATTTGCATCCAATCGATGAAACATACCTGTTATTTATTAGATTTAAAGCAAATAGTCTATATGGTTTCACGTCTTTTTTCATAATATTGTCAAGCTAAATTAATCGCTTGTTGCTCTGCAGCATAACACTATGCAACAACACAAGCAAGGCCACAGCAACACGCACATCTAGCAATTGTGTCATAAGCAAATTATGAAACTAGTGGATATCAGAATGAAATTCGTTAAATAGTAAATTGTGTCACTCGAGACTAAGTTAATCGATTGTTTTTCTATGAAGTTCGAACGTAAACAACAAGCATTCAGAGTATCGTGGTGAGTTTTAATGTATAATGAATGACTTTACGACTTTAGCATGTGATCCAAAAAGTTTGTTTACATATGTGAGAGTTACCGTTCCTTTGTATTGACTACTCAAACTTTGTAAGCAACTCAACGTGGAACTGTTTTTGACTGGAGATCAATTTATACTGGATCCTTTATTTTAGTGGAAATATTTGGCCAATGCAAGCATGACCATTATATCTTATCACCAACATAAAATTTGTGATTTGTGTTTATTAAAATATGTGCGTGCTACCATTCATAATTTAGGTAAATACCGCAATAATAAAGCGAGTTTCGCGGTTGCAAAGGAGTTACTGATCGTAGCGCTTAAATTACCTCCCATGCACATACACAAAAACAATTCCAGTTTCGGATAGTTCAGAAGGCATCGAGTAACAATGTGTACTTCCAGTTCAACACCACCCGAATGTAGTTCTAGTCTATTTTTAGAACATTTTTCCTCTTATTTTGGTGAAGATAGAAGAGCTTTAATTGTGCATTTTTGGTAAGGATTTAAAGGTAATTGTTTATTCTTGCGAATATGAGCTTAAGGTGTGGTTGTTGGTGTGTATTTCGGCGACAGTGTACAGTGAGTAATAAGATCCTGGTGATAATTCGGAAGTGAAATCTGTGTTCTATTGGATTGTGTTTTGTTTGCAATCCAGCCTCTCAAAAAGTGCCGGTGAACCTTTGACAAGAACTACACCGCGAATTCATCTTTGAAGGTATTTTAGATTAGCATGATTTGTATTGACTGTCACACAGTGAAAAGTTCAGTACTGAGAAACAAATGTAGAGAATATATAGTAATATTAATTGTGTTCTATGGCCAGAATTTTGCACCGTTTTACGCTTGGTTAGCAAAATATAAAGTCAACAAAGGAAGAAATTTTAGCTGTACTACAGATCATTATGATTAAGCCAATGAACACATTATATGTCTAACACCATTTGTTTATACTCGGAAAATAATTATAGACATTACATCAGATAATTAAATTCGGTGTCCATACTTTACATTATATCAGATAATTAAATAATATTTGATGTCCATGCTTAAATGAATTCAAATAATTAAATTAAATACAATGTCAATATTTATATTATAACATATAATATTGATTCATTATCCATTATTTAAGATACGTTTGTAGGAAAATTTCAATTTGCTCTCCGATTTTCAACATTTATTGCGCATTTTTGTCTGCATAACTTTAACGTAAACCGTCTCAACAATTTGCTTTTTTATACGTTGATATCTCCTTTTTTCTCAGTTACTTTCTCAAAGCTAATACTTCGTTTATAACACGAGCTAAGAAAGTTATAACACGAGTTCAATAAAAAAATATAACACGAGTTCGATACGTCAGCTGATCTGTAATGCTAAATATTTTTGAACCAGAAATGTATTTTTAAATGGAACACATAATATTAATGTCTTCAGAGGAACTTACCAACGCAATAATTACGTTATCTATCATAATGATAAAAGAGTGTAATTAATGCAGATATTTATTCATATTTAGGTGTAAATATTATGCCATATTCAGATTAATATGCCCAATGACGTTTTTTGTTTCATTTTATTTTTGGTGGGAGGAAAGAGGTTATCTCATCTTTAAACAATCAAAAAAGTATTTCCTCGTTTACATATTGTTTTCTTTCTATGTCCTGTCAAATATAGCCATGCATTCATTCAGTCTAATGTTGAATTATCTACATTCCTCGCTGGTTTTCTCAAAACTTGAAACATCAAGTATCGGACTGTACATGCAATAACTATCAGCATGTTTCTTTGCTTATGCTTACACGTTGTAATAACTCTCAAATTTGCTGGGGCCCTTAGACAACATTTCTGGCAGCCAAAAGCAAATTCATCTGGTACAGCATTCTTAAAATTAGTTTAATTCTATTTAACTTTCCTTGCATCAAATATCTAAGTTTAAAACATCCAATTGTTTCACAGATTCTGTACTATTACTTTGGTTCGCCTTTTAAATCAATATTAAACCACGAAATCGGATCTAAAATTGCAGACACAGTAGTAGATGAATATGATGTGCTGTCTCAGAAACACCCACCCACCTCCAAAGTTTGAATATGATAATGCTGTCTCAGAAACTCCACCTACCTCCCACGTTTTTTAAAGGTGGAAAATGATTCCCAGACCTTTAGATTTTTTCATATTCAACAAAGCACATGTTAATGCAAGATATCATAACCTACAAACCACACGATAATAGACCATATCATAAACTACAAAGCACATGTTAATGCAAGATATCATAACCTACGAAGCAGATGTTAATTCAGGATATAATCTACAAAGCACCTGTTAATGCGAATTAACGACGTTTCGCCCCATGGACGTTTCGGCCGAGGACATTTCGTCTCAATTCAATAGACATTTCGCCCCATTTCAATGGACATTTCGCCCCATCTGGTACAGGGATGTTTCGCCCCATAGGTGTTTCGGCCCAGGATATTTCGCCCCACATCAATAGAAATATCGGATATTTATATAAATTCATCAGCGTAACATCATTGTCTTCATTTTACTTTGGTTATTGTAAATATTTACAAATTGTGTCATATTTTGTCGATTTTTGGATCGATAATGTTGAAAGTTATTTGATCATCTCTTGGGTGGGAGTGTAATTCTAACTCAATATCAAAATCGTATGTTTTGAGGAATTGTATTTATTCCTTTTCAGAAAACTATAAAACTAAGCTGATTAAAGAATTGTGGTTCCCCGGGTATCAGCTAAACACGGACACGATGGAAATTACCACGTATTTCTTTGCACAAAAGTATGCGACAAGCATAACCTGTCAAATGCTTGAAGGAAAACAACCAAAAAGAGATTGAACAATATATTTTAAAAATGAACATGACTAGAATACCATGTGGGCCAATTCTGCTCTTCGTGTAATTCTGTGCATCGATGCGTCATTTCTGTAAATACTAATCGCGTATTATTTTGGGTGAAAAGATCCCAATCCATTTTGTATCAAGAAAGAACTATCGTACTTTAATTAAGAAAAATAATCTTCATAAAGTGTCAAAAAATATCCCACATTTCGACTCGAAATGCATATGAAAATAATTTTTAAATATCCATAACCTTCGTGAACCTAAACCCATATAATCCTATTTAATATGAATCTTTCAGAATCATACAAATAAGTACTTTAAAAGATAGAAATGTATAAATAAAAAAAGGTCTGCATCTTAATCGAAGTTTGCAAGTTTGCAAGTTGTCCCACACGCACAAACTCGTCTGCTACCCAACGTGTCAAGGTGCCGCTATAACAGAATTCTCAATTAATTTCCCTCCGTTTACTCTGCTTCTAATATTATAGTAATTTTTAATTTTTCCCCATAAACAAGTGTGTTTGTGTGTGTGTGTGTGTGTGTGTGTGTT